TACCTACATATATATCTATAGATAGATATAGATAGGTAGGTAAATATAGCATACTGTTGCGTTAAACTGTATGTCTATCTTTATGCCAATATCACACTGCCCTGCAGATAACAATTATAAAATCTAGTTGAAAATTTTTCTTTTTTTTAAGATTTTATTTTTTCCTTTTTCTCCCCAAAGCCCCCCGGTACATAGTTGTGTATTCTTCGTTGTGGGTTCCTCTAGTTGTGGTATGTGGGACGCTGCCTCAGCGTGGTCTGACGAGCAGTGCCATGTCCGCGCCCAGGATTCGAACCGACGAAACACTGGGCCGCCTGCAGCGGAGCGCGCGAACTTAACCACTCGGCCACGGGGCCAGCCCCCTCTAGTTGGAAATTTTTTTAAAAACAGCTATTTAAATTCACAGAAAGCATTCAAAAACATACAGTAATCAGAAAAGAGATTAATCTTAAAAAAAACTGCAACTAAAAGAGGGAGGTAAGAAGATTTACTGACCTTTTTGGACTAAGGTGATGCTCAACCCTCATGACTATGTTCGTGGGAAATAGTGGTGAAAACATCTCAGCCTTATTGGCAAAAAATGCCAGGGATTAGAGTTCAAGGCTGGAAAAGACACAGCAAATTTAAATAGGAAATCCAGGCAATGAAAACCACAGAAATATGTGGTAGAACTTCTGCCCAAATCTGTGTTTGACAGCTAAACTACGCATTAGTGAGAGAATCCCCCTGGAGACTGGTGAAAACACAGAAAGAGACTAGAGAAGAATCTAGTCTTAAAAGGTAGACCTATTCAAGGCTATCTCTATGAGTTTAAGGCTTTTCTTAAATGAGTGCATTCCTCACTGTAAATCTCCAGTGGCAGAAAGCTGAGGCTTTACAAGCTTGAAATATCAGGTCACAACCCAAAATTGGTAGAGCCACTGGCAATTAGAAAAGAGTCCCTATAATTGAGGAAACCACAAAAAGGATGATTCCCATCACTGGCAGATCAGCAAACTTCATAGGTGTAGGGCAGATCAGTCTACAGGGAACCAAGCTAAAACAGCCATGAGAAAACAGGAGAACAGAGCAGAGAGAGCAACAGCTGCGTGCCACAGGCAAGGAAATGTGGGCAGTTTGAATCCAGGCAAATTAACTGCCAAACAGAACCCCCAAATCAGTAATCCCTAGAAGAAAACAATGGAATCCACAGTCACTACAGTATATTGACTATCCAGTTTTCAATTAAAAATTACTAGGCATGTAAAGACATAGGAAGGAAAGTTTGGAGAAAAGGCAGTCAATAGAAAGGAACTAGTGTACCCAGATGCTTGATTTAGCAAAGACTTCAAAGCATCTCCCTTATTTTGTTGAAATGGTAATTATATTGACTGACGTGGAGTGTTAAATCTACCTTGGGTTCCAGAGATAAATCTCATTTGATCATGAAAACTGTACATATTTTTTCCAGTTTTCCATGAAAACTGTACGTAGTTTTTACAAGCAGTTTTCATATAAGATCATACCTCCATGGCACATTACAAAAGCCACTGAGATTAGCATTCTTTCTTCTGTTATTTCAGATTAAAACAAAAAGTTTTGCACTAAAATATAAAGTCCATAAATGTAGAGACTTTTGTGTGTTTCTTTTGTCTCCCTAACAACTAGTACAGCGTCTGACATAGACTAAGTGCTCAATAAATATTTATGGAGTGAAGGAATGACTAAAATATATGCTAAAATTAGCATTTGGCTCCATGGCGTAAGAATTGCAAATATTTTGAGGTAAACAAGGTCCTGATTATATCACACTCGTTATTAATCTTGTTTTTGTATCTGTGTCTATTTTAAGATTTCTTAATAGAAGTTCAGTAGAAGTAAATAGAATAAAAATTGATCAATACTAGCTAAATTTTGATATATGTTGTCAATTTAAAAATTTAAGATACCGGAGGGGTACAATTTATGGGTTAAAATAATTTCTAGGGCAGAGTTTCTGTTAAAAATATGTAATGAGCGGATGTATACTTTAAAATTTTAAAAAGCATTTGAATATGTAACCTTTCAATTATCTGACTCTATAGCTTTAACCCTTCACTGGTCTATTGATCAAGCAGACATGCCAGTTTGTGTACTCAAAAGGAAACAAAGTGACCATAGTTATGTATTAATGAGCAGATCCCTAGGAAACATAAATGAGGTTCCCTAAGCAAAGCGTCTATTTGTCATTTAGAAATTCTGTTTAATATGGTGTACAGCATGTTATTAGCCTTTTGGTCACTAGAGGGTGGTGGTGTTTCAGACCAGCACAATTCAGACTATTTCTGTTCTAACACCCAAAAGTGCCAACCGGAATCCAGCTGCTAGCATCCTGTTGTGTGACTCCTCAAACCCCCCAAATCACTTGTTTACAAGGTGAACAGCTACAAAACAGACAACTTAGAATAGGACAAAGCAAAACGCTGAAAGGAGGAAAGTGTTACATGAAAGATCTGAAATGCAACACATTTAGTGCCTTGGTGTAGAGGTGAGTTAAGAGGCTAACATTAATTCTTTGATACTTCTGTAGTGTCCTGATGTTTGTTACTCCTGTAAAATCCAATTGGCTACAGCGTGTGCTGCAATGGGGAAGGTAAAAATGTCAAAGAGGTCAAATATTCGTAAATAAAAAGAAAAATTATTTTTTTTAAAGATTGGCACCTGAGCTTACAACTGTTGCCAATCTTCTCTCTTTCTTTTTTCTGCTCTATCTCCCCAAATCCCCCCATACATAGTTGTATATCTTAGTTGCAGGTCCTTCTAGTTGTGGCATGTGGGACGCCATCTCAACGTGGCCTCACGAGTGGTGCCATGTCCCTGCTCAGGATCTGAACCAGCGAAACCCTGGGCCGCTGCAGCGGAGTGTGTGAACTTAACCACTCGGCCACAGGGCCAGCCCCAGAAGAATAATTTTTGATGTAACTGGAGAGAGATCAGCTTTGCTTTCTTTGATGTATGAATCATGAAAAGGTCTTAAATTTTTAAATAAAATATATAATTACACTAGAATTTTATTGCTTAAAAACTAAATTTGATATATATGTTCATCCAAAAGCTCTGGATAAAGCTTATATCTCACATTATTTTACTTTTCAAATGACATTTAAAAAAAACACTTTCCTGATTATGGACTTGAGGTTAATTAAAACTAATAAGACAAAATGGGGGGGGGGAGATTTAAAAAGTAAACCACTTTTCTATTCCTTCCCAGCTATTGTTCTCATTAGAAACGTGGTATTTTAAAAGAGAAATAAAACTCAAAAGTGCAAAACATTTTTAAATGACAGCAAAACACAAATTGAAATTAGTGATATGACCAATGTATGTTGTTAAAATGAGTTTAAATTACGCTTTTGCTTTTTCTCCTTTAAAAACTATATAACCTTGTAATGATATTTTTTCAAACTCATACAGAGTGAAAACAACCGCAGGCAAGGAAAGAATGCAGGGGAACTATTCCAGTCTCATCTCCTACCACTCATTTACACCCAAAAGGATATTGGCTAAGCCAGGACAGGCACAGAACCTGATGGGGCTTGCTCTGAAAGTCAATCCATAGCCTGAGTAACGGTCTTCATAGCGCAATATGATTAGGTCTGATTTCTTACATATGAGGAAAAATGAAATTTGTAAATAACTTTTTAAATCTTTTCATTTTCTGGACAATGTGAAGAAGCAGAAGAACCAGGCCCTCCCCAGATTTGGGAACAGCTGGTCTTACCGTTTGTTTTCACCTGCTGAGAGTGGCTATGGTACCCGTATAAGGAACACTGTGCTTCAAATAAGACAGAGGCTGGAGAACTGCGGAGACCTTGGGCACATCCTTTAACTTCATGGAGCCTCAGCTACCTCATCATAAGAGGGGAGGAATAATAATAGCAACACGACCTTGGAGGGTCTCTGAAAAAATAGGAAAATGCTTGTGAAAACACAAAATATTGGCTTAATAAAAGATGTTACTAGGCAATTATGCCCATTTTCACTAAATGTGAAGGCCTTGGTAACATCTAAATGCAGTTTCTAGTCCTAATCTCATGAGAACCGGCGAGGGTGCCGCCCCTCTCTCTCCAGCTCTCTAGGCTGGCCACAGCATCTGTCACTGTCTCAGACGTACAAGTGACTGCCACCTGCCTCCAGACACTTTTGCCCTGGCTGACATTTTTTTTTTTTTTTTTTTTTTTTAAGGAGGAGGAAGAATTTAGGGGGTGGGGGTGGTAGTTAAGATCTCTTCACCTTTGAATTTGATCATCTGATTTTATTTTGTTTCCCTGTACCTGTTCCCTTGAGTCTCTGGGCACTATTACTTTTACAGTTTCAGGGCGCCCCTGGGGACAGAGCAACTTGGCTGCTCATGACCATTCCAGAGCCCTGAAGTAAAAAGGGAAAAAAGGTCACGCTTAGCTTTGCAAAGGAGTGTGGTTTGCCTAGATTGCCCAGGGGCAGGTGAGTTAGACTTGCCAGGGTTACCAAGTTGCTTCAGGAGGAGGATCTGGTCCCTGTATGAGCATCTGTAGATCGAGAAGGAGGGCGGGCGGGTGCCCAGGTCGGCCTTAGCAACTTGCCTGAGGTCGAGAAGTCCAGTGAGGGACATTTTCTCCAGCCCACGACCCTCCTCTGGCAGGGAACAGGAGAATGCGCGGAGCCGGGCAGGGCGGCCTGGCCGGGCGTCGAGTCTGGCCTGGAGCTGCGGCATTCGAGGGGGGCGGGGGGTTCCCAGCTCAGGAAGCCAGGACAGCAGTCACACAGCGGCCAAGAGAGGCGCTCAGCAGCTTCTCCATCCTCCTCCCACGGCGCCGATGCCCACACCCACGGGCGCCCCGCCCCTCGGCCTTATAGAGGGGCCCGGCACCTCGGCGCGCTCGGAGCTAGAGGCTTCCCGGAGCCGACGGCGCGGCTGCCGGCGAGGCCCGAAAGCCCAGGGCCGCCGCGGCCGCGGCCGGAGCGGCGAAGCGAGGCGGCGGCTGCGCCCCGCACCATGGAGGGCAGCCCAGCCCCAGCCGCAGCCCCAGCCCGGGTCGCCACCGACCTGCGCCGCCGCCCGCGCCCCGTCTGCCAGCTCCCGCTGCTGCTCCCCGGGCGCCGTCCCCTCCTCACCTGGAAGCCAACATGAAGGAGACCCGGGGCCACGGGAGCGCCCCTTTCTGCACCCATCTCAACCACTCCTACCCGGGCATGTGGGCGCCCGAGGGCTCCGCCGAGGCGCAGGACAACCTCACGCGCCCCCCGGGGCCCGGAGAGGATTGCAGCTCCGTGTCCGTCGTCTTCCCCATCACCATGATGATCACCGGCTTCGTGGGCAACGCACTGGCCATGCTGCTCGTGTCGCGGAGCTACCGGCGCCGGGAGAGCAAGCGCAAAAAGTCGTTCCTGCTGTGCATCGGCTGGCTCGCGCTCACCGACCTGGTCGGGCAGCTGCTCACCAGCCCAGTGGTCATCGTCGTGTACCTGTCCCAGCAGCGCTGGGAGCACCTCGACCCGTCGGGGAGGCTGTGCACCTTCTTCGGGCTGACCATGACTGTCTTTGGGCTCTCCTCGCTCTTCATCGCCAGCGCCATGGCCGTCGAGCGGGCGCTGGCCATCCGGGCGCCGCACTGGTACGCGAGCCACATGAAGACGCGCGCCACCCGCGCCGTGCTGCTCGGCGTGTGGCTGGCCGTGCTCGCCTTCGCCCTGCTGCCCGTGCTGGGCGTGGGTCAGTACACCGTCCAGTGGCCCGGGACGTGGTGCTTCATTAGCACTGGGGGCGGGGGCAACGGGACTAGTTATCCACACAACTGGGGCAACCTTTTCTTTGCCTCCACCTTTGCCTTCCTGGGGCTTTCGGCGCTGGCGGTCACCTTCGCCTGCAACCTGGCCACCATTAAGGCCCTGGTGTCCCGCTGCAGAGCCAAGGCCACGGCGTCGCAATCCAGCGCCCAGTGGGGCCGGATCACGACCGAGACGGCCATCCAGCTCATGGGGATCATGTGCGTGCTGTCTGTCTGCTGGTCGCCACTGCTGGTAGGTAGTTCCAGGGTTGGGAGGTGGGGGCGGGCGTGCGCGCTGGCGGGCGACGGAGACTTCTCCAGGGAGCAGCACCTGCAGGAGTACGTTTGCAACCACAGAGCATTGAGGAGGCCTCTCTGCCCACGGTATCTTGGTTGCGGCTTCAGAGTTGAGCTCTTCGCTCGCTGAAGCGCCTTCCAAGTGCCAGGCATCGCATTAGGCTCTGGTTATGCGCGCGTGGAGACCACAGGGGGGCTCACATTCTAACTGGAGAGTAAGAGGATTCCCAGGCATCATCTCAGTGCTTGTGCAGAGAGAGGGGTTTCTCCTAGGTGCACTGGAAACAGAAGGGCGACGACAACTGTAGCCTGGTGCTGTGGGCTTTTTCCTTATTTCAAATACTCTAGCACGTCGAAGCGATTTGCAGTCTGCAGGAGTACTCTGCCTGCGAGCGACCGCAGACACGCACAGCCCTCTTGCAGCTTCGGAGCCCCTGCGCGCTCCCCCAGCGCAACCCGCGCGAGCGTTCCTTGCAGGCTCGCTCTGGACTGGAGGCGGGAGAGTGAAGACGATCTGGCGGCTCAGCCAGCCTCAGCCCTTTAGAACGGTGCTGTACCACCGCAAGGAAGCGCTTGAATGACAGTCAGTCAGTGGGCCCCCGGGCCTGCTAACACCCTCCGGCCAGCCTTTGCTGGCCTTTGTGGGAACCGCGCGGGGTTGGGGCAAGGCCAATGCTGGAATAGGAGTTACAGGTTTCTGTTTTTCCCAGCTCCTCACAGGGCGCGCAGCGGGGGAGCAAGTGACGTTTCCACTTGCTCCTTGTCTAACGCCGGCTCTTATATCGCACTTTAGAGGTTTTCCTCTGTGCTACTTTTAGCTAGAGATTTCTGTGGGTAAGTGCTGCGTACTAATTCCTAATGAATGGAAGCTTCTTTAGGCCCCAAGCAGCCTGGCCTATTAGGAGATGTCGCAGAAAGAGCAACCTGGTCCTTGCGGCAGAGTTATAACAGACTATATATTGGACCTGGAAATTTATTAGGCAGTTGTGAAAAACTGAAACCCATGGGCACAGTTTTCAGAACCCACCCAAGTAGATTTTTCTTTTTAAATTGTGTAAATACACATAACATAAAATTTACCATTTAACCATTTTTTAAGTGCACAGTTCAGTGGTGTTAAGGACGTCGACGTTGTGTAACTATAGTTTTAAATCCCTTGCATTTAAAAATAGAACTGTAGTTTCTTTTTCCCTCCGGCCCTCCCTGCTTTGGAAAGCAGATGTGCCAGAATACCTGTGTTTAACGGGGGTAATATATTTAGAGCGCAAGTCTTGGCTCCAAGTCAGTGACCTGTGGTGACAAGGAGAGTTCTGTTGGGACCTAACTGCCCACAAGTCGTGGTATGGTCACAGTTCTGCGTTCCAGGAGCTGGAACTCAGGCTGAGGTCGTCACAGTGGCTTATCAAAACCAGCACTAATTTTAGACATTGTTACTTCTGTGGCTGAGGAATGGGGTGTGTAGGTGGCGGAACAGAAGGGAAAAAGAGTTCTAAATAATGAACACTTTACTAAAGTGTGATCATTAACATAACTTGAAAGGCAAACAGAATATCTGAATTTTTCACAACTGTCATGTGAGTCCCACGTCTCTGAGTTTACTCTATCACATTCTTTATGTCCTAGGAAAAATGTAATTAAGCTATATAAATAAAATGCTGACTCATGCAGTTAACCAGGCTTATAGTTGTTGCTTTTTTTTTTAAAAGCAGAAGAGAATGTATCTAGTCTGTTTTTATTTCAAAACTTTGATCCCAGTACCATGAGCATGGTGGCCTTAGGAAGAATTTAGATCCATTCTGAACTGTAACCTGGGATAGCCAAACTCACTCTTTTAAGAGAGACTATATTTGGAACTAGTCTTATTTCATTTCAATTAATAGCTGCATTCAAAAAATATTTGTTTACAGCACTTTATCAGATACTTTATTGATTCAGTTCTCATAAAAACATTAAATAAAATAAATTCAACGTGTGATCATATATCAGAGGAGAAATTCATGGTTTCCATGGTACTTTTTAAACTAAAGAAAGTGGTTCCACCTTCTGTTTTGTGCACCGAGATGAAATCTCCAAATATCTTCAGAATGATCTGCAGGACAAAGTTGGCAATATTTCAAAGGAAAGAAATTGGCAAATCTGCTTTCTTAATAGGTTAGGGAATTGTAAGAATGAAAACACTAGAATTTAGTTAATAGAGTTTTCGGTGTATTAATGTTCACGTGAGAGAGTGTTTTTTCTACTCTTTTTCTAACTATGGGTAAAATGTAGATTCCCTGGTAGCTTTGCTTGAGTTGGGCATAGGATACTAATCTGATCTAATTACCTGGAGTATCTCTTGTCTTGGAAGACTGTCATGACTATAATAATATCCAGTTGTTACCGCTGGAAAACCTAGAGATGCGACACGGTAGTAAGAAAAAGTGCATTGTTACAAGTTCCCACTATGTGAACACTGACATCGAGGTCTGTCTGTGGTGCGAACACAAGCTATTTTTACTTTTCATTTTCCCCAGAAACTCTACAAAATACAATACAAGATGTGAAGTTAAGTGAGAACACAGGGAAATGAGGTCACTTTGCGAGATGAACTACAATTCTTATTCACTGTTTGCATGAGGCATCAAATTCTCTTGGAATCAGCCAGCTGACTCAGCAGTGCAATCTGTTGGACTTTTATTATTTTTATTTTATTTTTTATGAACTACATTCACCAAATAGTCCAGCTATTTGACATGATAGCCAAGTTTCCAGAAGCAGGAGTAACCTTAGGGTGTTGTGCCGAGGAAGCCATGAGTATGTTTTGTACTTTCGTAAACCTGGTGCTCCCCAAACAGGTAGAATATGGCTAACTCTGCGGCCACCTTAAAAGTAGTAACTGTAACGCTGAGTGTCAACATGTGAAAAGTGAGGGATGAGGAAAAGTTTCTCATCTACAACATTGGAACGGGATAAAAGCAGCCTTAGAAACTTTTGCCTTTAGTCTTGAATCAGCCAAGTCCCTGCTCAATATCCACAAATGCAAACAGAGATGCTTCAGTTCGAGAAGATATTTCACAATGTGGATGTGATTTGTTTTTTAATTTAAGGAATCACTGATGTATTTTGACAAATGAAATTTGCCTTAAATATACTACATATGATAGATTATTTTACAGAAGTAATGCTTTTTTATGCTTTTTTACAGTATAAAAAAGTATTATTCAATTGCTAATCTTCTCTGCCTATGAATTTCTGCCCTATGAAAATGTTTAAACATGTGAATTAGCATTATAGGAAAAATCTTCTGCAATTTGTTTTCATAAGAATTGAAATTATTCAGAATTTTTACTTTCTTTTCAGTTTACTGTAATATATTTTAGGCACTGTGGAAGGGATATTAAGTAGACATTAAAAACTGGCTAAAGAGTTATAATCTGTTCAGAGAAGCAGAATTTCCATATTTGTGAGTGAAACAATGAGAGAACAATACGAGATAGGATGCATAATTAATGCCTTTGGCTCTCAGAAAAAAGTTCATCGGGATTTGCCAGAGTAGGCTTCTGGGAGGAGGTGGGATGGTGCACTTGACCTCACAGCTGAGGTGCAGTGTGCCCGGGATCCCAGCCCGATGAGAAGAGAATGCGCACACTGGGACCATGGGGAGACTGTTTGGAAAAGGCTCAGTGGGCCAGACTGAGATGGTTAGGATGGAGGCAGGACGAGGTGTGCGTTCTTTTGCCAGTAGGAGTAGAACCTCTATTTCAGGTTTTTGAATAGAGGAAGAGAGTTTTAAAAAGATTGTCAGGGCTGTAGTGTGTGGATAAATTTGGGCCAGAAAATGGGAAAGTAAGATCGGTTATAACTTGCTTTTGTAGGTCAGTTAGAGCCTTAGGGTGGAGACAGTAGGAAGAGGTGAGTCAGAGAAGGAAAGGTAAGAGAAACGCTATGAGAAATGGTCGATTTAAGGAGTGATTGATTCAGCAAACATTTCTTATACATCTACTGTGTTCAATTGACTGTAGTGAGTATTTTCACATACCTTACCTCATTTAACTGCACCCTGTAAGATTGCCACTATTTTCTACATCATTCAGATGAAGAATTCGAGTACAAAGAATACTAGAACCAGATTTCTAATTCAGGAACTCTGACTCTGAGTTTATTTTCAGTTTGTTTGTTTAGTGTAAATAGAGGCCAGGAATTCTGGTCCCAACGGTGGCCCTGGGCAAGTTGTATATCCTCTCTTCTGTAAAGTGCAGAGGTAGGACCAGTAGATACCTAAGGTCTTTTTCCATTTATGTTATTCTCAGCTTCTCTTATTTGGGAGAATTATGGTTCAATGAACTAGAAAGGGAAATTTGGAAAGGAGACTGTAGGTCAATTGTTTCTTTGTGACAATGGGGGCCCCCGAGTGACTGGGGCTTTTAGACACAGCACATATGGTGATGGCGGATTATCTAAATGATATATCCAGAAACCGGTATAACTTGAAGATTAATGAGATAGATCAGGGCTAAAAAAGTTTGCAGGTTTTTAAATTTTGAGTTTATCAGAAAGAGCCAAGAGTTAAACAGTTCTTAAGCCATCATATTTGAAGGAAATCAGACGGTCTAGAGTTGTAGCATAATTGTGACTCAGTGGCCTTTCTCTTTTGAAAAAGCTGTAAAGGTCAATAACTCGATTATGAAAATTTCCACGGATTCAGTTTTCTGGGAATAACCCTCAGGAATAAGTGCCACAGGTATATGTAATTGACAGTGGTTAGTCCGGGGTGCTGCAGATGGCAGTGAGGGGTCCTGGGTGCTGTGCTTCAGTTTTCAGTTCTGGCCTTGCATTACAGAGAAGCAGGAGGGGAGTCCTCCCTAAAACTCTTCCCCTTTGCGTAGCATTTTTATAATCCACCAGCATTCCACATTGATCTTCTTCACGCCTCGAAACTCTAAGATCTACAAACATAGCACGGCAAATTCCGACTCC